TTTTACAGCTTGTCATATTTTGTAAATTTACATTATTACATATCTGCTGTACCTGTTGATAATAAAGACGTATATGAGTAATCTCAACATGCCTTATTTAATTAAAGATGGCCTTAGAGGGGCAATGATGATGCTATATGATGTTATATGATGCTATATGATGTTATATGATGCTCTATGATGCTATATGATATTATATGATGCTATATGATGTTATATGATGTTATGTGATGCTATATGATGTTATATGATGCTATATGATGCTATATGCTGGGATATGATGCTATATGATAGTATATGATGCTATATGATAGTATATGATAGTATATGATGCTATATGGTGTTATATGATGCTATATGCAGCTAATAATTCTACCAGGCAATTTGTTAATAGCCGGTGACTTCAATTACCATGTGGACAACAGTACTAACCCGGGTACCATAAAATTCAATAAAATATTGGAATCGTTCAATCTACAACAACACGTGAATGGGCCAACTCACAAGACGGGTCACACCCTAGATTTAATAATAGCAAGAATTGGCGATCGACTGGTGACTAACATTGAAATACACGACCCCATGTTTTCAGATCATTCAGCTGTAAGCTGTATGTTACAGCTTGTGAAACCACCACTGGAACGTGCAGAAATCCAGTATCGCAAGCTGCGGAATATAAACATGGATAGTTTTAACGAAGACCTAGGAAAGTCGAACTTCAGTAGTGACAGTGAGCTACCAACTATTATCGATCAGTACGAAAAGACTTTGGAAGAAACTTTACAGAAACATGCGCCTTTAAAACGAAGAACTATTACTCTCCGGCCATCAGCACCATGGTATAACGAGGAAATTGGTAAAGCCAAAAGACACCGTAGAAGATTCGAGCGTCGTTGGCGAGCATCTAGTCGATCTAGACTGTGCATTGACAAAGAGATATATATTAAACAATGTCAGATAGTGAATGATATGATCAAGGAAGCGAAGACAACATATTACTCCTCCGCCATTTCTAATAATAAATATAATCAGAAAGTATTGTTTGATACAGTCGACAAACTACTTCACAGAAAACCAGAGAAATGTTATCCAACTACATCATAGTTAATAATTTTGGGGACTTCTTTAGTAACAAGATAGCAGTTTTACGTAGTGATTTGGCCAATATATCCACCTATGACAATCAGTTGAGACCAGCGGAACTGTTGACACAATGCGTTGAGTTTAGAGTCTTTCAAACGGTAACGGAGCAAGAAGTCGAAAATATTGTTGACGCGAATGGCAAAAAATCCTGTGAACTCGACCCTATACCTGCAACAATTCTTAAAGGCTGTAAAAAGACTCTACTACCTACGTTTACTAACATCATCAACAAGTCACTCGAAACTGGATGCATGCCTGTACAACTCAAAGAGGCTATGTTAAAACCTAAGCTGAAGAAAAGCAATTTGGAGTTCGAAGAACACTCAAACTTCAGACCAATTTCAAATCTTAAATTTCTATCTAAGATAATCGAGAAAGCTGTTGCTACTCAACTCATGGAACATTTATTCAATAATAACTTAGAAGAACCTCTCCAATCAGCATATAAACGCTTCCACAGTACCGAAGCGGCCCTGCTTAAAGTTCAGAATGACATTCTTATCGCTATTGACAATCAGAAATGTGTAGTTTTGCTGTTGTTGGACATGTCAGCCGCGTTCGACACAGTTGACCATGAAATCCTATTGGAACGAATGTCAAAACGGTTTGGAATTAAAGACAAGGTGCTAGAATGGTTTCAGTCCTACCTTCAAAACAGGACACAAACTGTGATGATTGATGGCGTTAAATCTGCTGCTAAAGATCTAAATTGCGGAGTTCCGCAAGGCTCGGTTCTGGGCCCTATTTTGTACCTGTTATACACCTCGCCCATTGGAGATATTATTAGACGTCATGAACTTGACTTTCATTTCTATGCTGATGATTCGCAACTATATCTTGCTTTTGAGCCAACTACAGATGAACAACCGGGTGCACTTGTGCGAATAGAAACATGCGTTAGAGAGATCGACTCGTGGATGGTTAGTAATAAATTGAAGCTAAATGGAGACAAGACAGAGTTGTTAGTAATAAATGCACGCCATCGCCCATGCCCGCTTATAGATCATATAGATATATCCAATTTTAAAATCCAACCATCTGAAACAGCTAGTAACATTGGCGTAACATTCGACCGACATATGTCTCTAGATCAACATGTGACTAATATCTGCAAGACATGTTTCTTTCATTTGCGTAAAATAGCAAAGATAAGAGCTTATATCTACAGCAGACACTGAAACTCTGGTCCACTCATTTATTACTTCTAAACTGGATAGCTGTAATTCTCTGCTATATGGGTTGCCAAAACTCATGATTGATCGATTACAAAATGTGCAGAACAGTGCAGCGCGTTTGATAGCAAGACGTAGAAAATTTGATCATATCACCCCTGTTATGAAAGAACTGCACTTGCTTCCCGTAAGCCAACGTATCATTTACAAGATACTTCTCATCACCTACAAAGCTCTGAATGGTCTTGCACCAAGCTACATTAGGGATATGCTACAACCGCAAAAATCAACAATGAATGTACGTTCATCGATGAAAGGACTACTCTCAGTACCCCCCACAAAGTTGGACAACTATGGTCAAAGATCATTTTCATATGCAGCACCAAAACTATGGAATGAACTTCCAGATTCAGTACGACATAGTGAATCGATATCTATTTTTAAAACAAAATTGAAGACATATCAATTTAAAAATTTTTATAAGTAATTGACACTAGTTTTACCAATTTTAACTATTGCTAGTTGTATCTATCTAACTGAATTTTTATCTTATTCACTTCTTATATTGATGCTATATGATGCTATATGATACTATATGATGCTATATGATAGTATATGATGCTATATGATAGTATATGATAGTATATGATGCTATATGATGTTATATGATGCTATATGATGCTATATGATAGTATATGATGCTATATGATAGTATATGATTCTATATGGTGTTATATGATGCTATATGATGTTATATGATAGTATATGATGCTATATGATAGTATATGATGCTATATGATAGTATATCATGCTATATGATAGTATATGATAGTATATGATGCTATATGATGTTATATGATGCTATATGATAGTATATGATGCTATATGATAGTATATGATTCTATATGGTGTTATATGATGCTATATGATGTTATATGATAGTATATGATGCTATATGATAGTATATGATGCTATATGATAGTATATCATGCTATATGAGGTTATATGATGCTATATGATGTTATATGATGCTATATGATGCTATATGATACTATATGATGCTATATGATGGTATATGATGCTATATGATAGCATATGATAGTATATGATGCTATATGATGTTATATGATGCTATATGATGCTATATGATAGTATATGATGCTATATGGTAGTATATGATAGTATATGAAGCTATATGGTGTTATATGATGCTATATGATGTTATATGATACTATATGATGCTATATGATAGTATATGATGCTATATGATGTTATATGATGCTATATGATGTTATATGATGCTATATGATGCTATATGATACTATATGATGCTATATGATAGTATATGATGCTATATGATAGTATATGATGCTATATGATGTTATATGATGCTATATGATACTATATGATGGTATATCACAGTATATGATGCTATATGATAGTATATGATAGTATATGATGCTATATGATGTTATATGATGCTATATGATGCTATATGATACTATATGATGCTATATGATAGTATATGATGCTATATGATAGTATATGATGCTATATGATGTTATATGATGCTATATGATGCTATATGATACTATATGATAGTATATGATGTTATATGATGCTATATGATACTATATGATGGTATATGATAGTATATGATGCTATATTATAGTATATGATAGTATATGATGCTATATGATGTTATATGATGCTATATGATACTATATAATGGTATATGATAGTATATGATGCTATATGATAGTATATGATAGTATATGATAGTATATGATGCTATATGATGTTATATGATGCTATTTGATGCTATATGATGCTATATGATACTATATGATGCTATATGATAGTATATGATGCTATATGATGTTATATGATGCTATATGGTGCTATATGATAGTATATGATGCTATATGATAGTATATGATAGTATATGATGCTATATGATGTTATATGATGCTATATGATACTATATAATGGTATATGATAGTATATCATGCTATATGATAGTATATGATAGTATATGATAGTATATGATGCTATATGATGTTATATGATGCTATTTGATGCTATATGATGCTATATGATACTATATGATGCTATATGATAGTATATGATGCTATATGATAGTATATGATGCTATATGATAGTATATGATGCTATATGATAGTATATGATGCTATATGATGCTATATGATACTATATGATAGTATATGATGTTATATGATGCTATATGATACTATATGATGGTATATGATAGTATATGATGCTATATGGTGTTATATGATACTATATGATGTTATATGATACTATATGATGCTATAAGATACTATATGATGCTATATGATAGTATATGATGCTATATGATAGTATATGATAGTATATGATGCTATATGATGTTATATGATGCTATATGGTGTTATATGATGCTATATGATGCTATATGATACTATATGATGGTATATGATAGTATATGATAGTATATGATGCTATATGATGTTATATGATGCTATATGATGTTATATGATGCTATATGATGCTATATGATACTATATGATGCTATATGATAGTATATGATAGTATATGATGCTATATGATGTTATATTATGCTATATGATGTTATATGATGGTATATGATGGTATATGATGGGTAATGATGGCTATTTATGTTTATTACGTTTTATATTTTTTGTCGCTTTTTTACATTCGCGTATTCTGGACATGAACTTATTACCTTATTAGCTTATCGCAGGCGCAATAATTTATGTTCATCTTTGACATTAATTTATGTTACACGATGATACTCCGAAGGGCGACCGAGAAAGATCCGAAATTTAAAAGAAGGCGGAGAAATGATAAAAAATAAAGAGGGGAGTGAAACGGCCGGACTATTATCCGCTGATGCTGGTTGACTGTTACTAGGAACATTTGATGTTGCTAGGAACAAACCGGAAACAAAATGAGACCTACTATTACGGGAACCACTGAGTATTTTAATATAATATACTGTAGAACAACAAATTATAATATAATATACTGTAGAAAATAATTTTTTTTTATTATTTTCGGATTTACCGTTGATTTTTATTTGATCTACTATAATTAGTTCAAGGGAGTCACATTAGAATATATTATTAAAATTGGGGACAATGGCGAGAGTTTGTATATCAGATAAACATCGGCTGCTCGTGTTTGAACGTGCTTAAAAGACGACCCATCATATGAGTTCATTGGCGAAGTAATTTTAAAATAAACATTGTCTAAGCCGAGAAAATCGAAGCTGAAGTTTATGTAAATGAGGACAATTTACAAATCTATTATCCAACGATTTACATACATTGATTAAACATTCATTTCTTTTGAATTTCCTTCATGAATTATTAATACTGTATTTTGTGTCCAGCATTCGCAAATGTATTTGTTTCTCTGCTGTCGAAAATTCACTGCTGGCGAGCAACGATGCAAATCAATACAAGTTTTGATATATTTCAGATTCGACAGTTCTTGGTCAACGAGCATGGCCAGATAACGAAATTGGATATACGCATTGTCATTGGCCAATACCCCATCACGTGTTCGGCCGTTTCACTCCCCTCTTTATTTTTTATTATTTCTCCGCCTTATTTTAAATTTCGGATCTTTCTCGGTCGCCCTTCGGAGTATCATCGTGTAACATAAATTAATGTCAAAGATGAACATAAATTATTGCGCCTGCGATAAGCTAATAATATATACCGCTTTCAACATTCAAAATGGCGCCCGATGAAAATTGAAAACATTTACATGTAATTAAAAGGTTAGTATAAATTTACACAAGTATTTCTGGCGTGCTCCCTTGCTTAGATCTGAAAATTTTTACGGGAACTAACACTTTCGAACGCGCTGAGTTCAAATCCGAAAAGTTCCCACTCCGTAGACCCGCAGTTTTCTCACAAAATGCAATTATATCTTCAATAATTTCACGACAAATTTTTCTTGTTCAACCACACTGATCGATGACGATACACGAGTATGTCACTCAAAAGGACTAATTTCTATTAACCAGTCTTCCTTTTAACAAAAGACCGGTTTTGCTAGAATCATTTTGAGTTATGCAATATTATGCGTGTTGGACGTAAACAACATATCTTGTCTACAACTTTGAGAAAGTACAGATAACGCTTTTTAAAATCCTCAGTTTTAGAGATATCTCTATAAAATCACAATGACATTAATGCGAAATCGTTTGGCTATGTTACTGGTCTTTTAACGCGATCAAGGTATTGAAAACAACAGTAACGCGAAGCCAACGTAACGGCAAAGACAACGCTAAAATGAAATATTTATCACTTATTTAATGAGACCGAGGGAAACAGTGTGTTTTGTGGAGGCAATTGATAAAACTAGAATAGTGAAGCGAATAGTCGACGAATAGTCGACGAATAGTACGAATAGTCCGCTAATAGTCGACGAATAGTCGACGAATAGTACGAATAGTCCGCGAATAGGCGACGAATAGTACGAATAGTCGATGAATAGTGCAATAGAGACTTTGCAAGGCTATGTATGTCTATTTTTTTCTATTTATACATTTTTACAGTTTTGGGGTAAAAGATTGATGTTTTCCTAATCGTTTAGTTACTTGATGGAGGTATTTTCTATGTTTTAACTTTTAATTAAGTGCTGTCGAAAACTTCAAAGACAAATTGTACTGTGATAAAATAAATTATGAAAAATTCACACCGTTTACCGATTTGATGAACTAAATTTTAAATACCTAATTTACATCTCACTCACCTTGTCTTGTACCTTGGATTGCTGGGTCACTATGTTATGATATCATTGATGTGAATGTTGTGTTATTGATCAAATATGCCTTTCTGGAAATTATGTCAAAGGTATTGGAAGTGAGGCTTACGAGAATTTACATATGAGTGAACGCCTCATCTATGCCCAGTAAATCTCATCTCCAGGTCAAGAAGGTAATAATGCAGTTTTGTAACATAATTACAAGAAAGGCATATTTTCACTAACTTACTTTTGGACTTTCACAGCAATGATTAAATAATTAGTAACTCATCATCATCATCATCATCATCACTGTCATCATGGTTGTTGCCAAGTAAATCACCTTCATTTTCTGTTAGGATTATGTCCTCATCCACTGCTACAATGTTGCTGCAACTTTCACAAAAACATAAGTCACTACATTTCAGCTGAGCTTTAACGCATGAACATCTTTGGGTTTTGCATCCTGTCTTACATGTGCACTTTACAATTTCAAGGAGTGGATCAGGTGCGGCTGGAAGTGTGATCTAATATCCACCCATTGCCTTCAGGAGATGGAATATTCATTTGAGGTGACAGGGACTGATTCCACACAGCTGTTTGATAGTTAGCTCTCTCGATGTGTTTTAAAAGACAGTGTGAATTTGGGGGTAACACATCATCTGAATATTTCCCTGATTTGAAGAGGTTATATCTGCATTCATCAGTATTAACAGCAATCTTATCGCCATACATCAGACACACAAACCGGTGGAGTTGACTGACTATAGGACGTCAGATGGTGGAAACATGTTTCCAAGCATACTGAAGGTTTCTGTAAATTCTGGATTGTCAGATAAGGTTTTCCAAACTTTAATTTTTCCCTTTCCATGGAATGAGCTTATGGAATCACACCCTACAAAAGTAAATATTTTAATATCTGTCAAGATTGGTTTGAAACTATTTGCTTTTTTACAAATTATTCATATCATCAACACAACATGTTCTACAATACTTGAAAATGCATGAAAACCTGACAGACATTTACACGTGTTGTCACCAAGTTCTTCGCAAATTGTGTTAATGTGTATGCAACGAAATTTGTTTCGTGAGCCTGTCATCATATAAACATCTTTCTCGATCAACTGTTGCATGGCAGTGCAAAGAACCAGAACGTCAGTGTCAGGACTTCTGATTATCACTGTGTCATACGTGCTTGCGGCATGCTTGGCGTGCAGCAATAGACGAGTATCTGCCTCTTCATGGTTGCTATCGAGTGGTGGAAACGAGTCTGTTCTAACAGGGTCATCACCATCTCGATTGGGATGGTATGCATAACATTTGTTCTTCGATGTTGCATAAAAAACAGAAACAGAAGCAAACTGGCATGACTTGTATTATTTCCAATGTTTGATGAAGAATTCCAATAACGATTCTTTGTTATCTCCAGCACTCAGAATTTTTTTCCATTGCTTTGGGATGTTCTGCTCTTGGCCATAGATGTGTACTCGTTCAACTCCTTGTGTAGCGCGTCTGGCTCGCTCAGTGTTCTTGACACTCAGAGCAGGATACCGGTCTGCGACAAAATCTAGTCATAATGCACGACAATCATGAGCTAATTTCATGAGGAAATTGAAAACAGAATCCGCAAAATCACCAAAGGTTTTCCAGTTTCCTTCCAAGCACTGCACAACAGCCATGGCATCTACAATGAGTGCATTATTATTTGGAATGTCTGTTATGTCAACATGCGGGTTTCCGCTTTCACGTTCCAGTATGTCCGCCAATTTTGACTTTGCCGTCTTTAAAAGACTGCCACTCACGGAGGCAAGTGATAATGGATATGCACCAAGGCAGTAAGACAGGACATTTTGCAAATCAATGTCCCGGCTTTTAGCAACGAGCAAAAGCCTTGCAAACAAATTTCTACTCATTTTGAGTCCAGTTTCTTTGCCGGCACTGTTTTTAATCCCTGCTTTAGTATTCTGGATAGTAGGAAGCTTGTTTTTTTTAATTGTTTGGAAGATATCTGGTTCTTCAATAGTCAAATTGTTTTTAACGAAATCTAAAACTGATTCTCTCCAATCTGTTCTGCTCCAAGTAAACTATCAGCAACATTGTCCTCAACGACAAATCCACTTGCTAAAGATATTAGGCTCTTTTGCTCTGTGTCAAACGGGTTTAGCATATTCGAAACGGTGATTATTACATTTTCTACCGACTTCTGATAGCGCTCGCATTTAGTACGATCGAGGTCTTTACGTTTTCTAAAAGAAAAAAAAAACACATTGAAATCGCGCAACCATTTAAACACGATTAAGGATGTGCAATTTTTACGAGTGTTGTTTGGACATACCTTGGCTTGCACTCCATTCCTGCTAAACTCTTGCATTGGCTGGTTATCGCCGCTCTCACCGACTGTGAAAGAAGCCATCGATGCACTGCAGCACGATTCAATGAGAAACCAATCAAGCCTCCCTTAGTTTTTGCATCACGGTTTACTGTCTGTTCTATCGTTTGGTCGCATGCAACTGCAGAAAAAACATGATGACTTTGACGCTGAATGGCGAAATTTCGTGACATATCAAGTCGAATTCCTGTTAATTAAGGTGAACGGTATTATTTGTACGCATATTTACCACAATAAGCGAGCGGACAAGAAAATTGAATGCAGTTTTATGGTGTGTCTGCAGACTATATATCTACAGGCAACATCCACAGAAAAAGCTGGATGCGCGGGTCGCTTGTGCAGACAAACCAACAACAACAGAAAATAGACATACAATTTTGAATATTTCCTTTTGCTTTACGCTTTACCTGGGTGTGTTTTGTACAGAGACGTCATTTCCAACCAGTAAGCTGTTCCGTATCTTGCGTAGTTAATCTTATTAGTAACAAAAAAACAGGGAAGCATTTGCCTAAATGTAGATAAATGGAGCTCCCAATCGATCTGTCGTGTTGCACGGATGAACATCAACAATATACCTACATTGAAAAGTAATATTTAGTTCTGATTTAAACGAACCAAAGAGCAAGAGGCCATAGACAATGACGAATGGCTGACAAACCCACCTCTTTAAAGTCAGTTTTCATTTCAGCTGTATACCGTAGCGAAACGTAGCACATTTCTTTGTTTAAAAATCAGTGCTACTCGAGTGCCCATGGAACAAAAAAAAATACGACACGTTTTTATATGGTAAGGCTGAAGTGCAAAACGGCCTCAATTGTGTCATTTAAAGAATCTTTAATACATTAACTCTAATCTGCAGACCTGAATTTTAACCTTGGCTCTAAACCGAATAGTTGCCTGTATTAATCCTCCCGTTAATCTATTCCGGGTTCTTTATATATTTGTAAGCAGGCCCTTATTAAGTTACCTTTTTGTATTAGAAGATTTGCATGTACCTGTCATTTTAAGATATATGCTCCAAAATGCAAATGTTTTTGATTTTTGCGATGTTTCTTCCACAAATGATTCATATTTATCACATACAGCCTCAAACTCCTGGCTCAACAGCTTCTCTTTGTATTGTTGCGTTGGAAAGCCATCTCCCATAGATTCTACAAATGTCCGAATTTTTTCCTGTTCATTGACATCCAAGCTATCCATAAAAGTATCAAATCGAAGACGTTGGAACGCTTCATGCATGATTTTGTGGCAGAACACTGACCTATTATAATGTTTACCACTGAGCACGCCCTTGATTGATCCCTCACTCACTATTCCCGACTCGATCATGATATCCTACACATAAACAAACGAAAAATTGCATTCGTCATCATATAAATTTTACTTCGGTGAATACTAAGTTTGTAAATTCTCCAAAACAGAACACGAATATATGAATATGCAAAAATTATCGGTCTAGCCTCGGCCCAAAATTTACCTTCATCCCCGCATCTTCAAATAGCTTCGATATTGCTGTCAGGAAGGACATAATGGTATGAAACTCTCCTAAGCGCACGATCAGTTTGTTTGTTCTCGTTTTCCCATGCACCTTACTTGTTGCACCTTCGAGTATCCAGCCTCGTCAAATACCATTACGATATGATCAAATTGTAGGGCGTTTGCAATGTCAACACCTTTTTCGAGGATTGCATTTATAGTTGAGTATTCAGTGGGCGAGTTATCGATGACAGGGAGATAACCGATTCTTGATGCATTTGGTATTTCAGTTTCATTAAGCATCGTGTTGAATCCAGTCCATCCTGTTCTTCGAAATGATTATACATCTTTACCAGTATGTATGATAGATCTGTTTTTAGTGAAATATTTGTTTTCTCATTTTCACCGTAATCTTTGATGCTCTCAGGAATGTTAAATGCAGGTGTCTTTTTCACTCCAATGCTGTAAGGCTTTAAAGTAATGTCAGGCACCTTTAGGGATCGTTGGGTCACTGTTGTCTCTATATTGTTGTCGTCGTTGTTTTGTGAGGTAACCTGTTGGATGATGATGCCATTGGTTACGTGCGTTTGTTTCTTAGCCTCTTCTCCAAAATCAATGTTGTCATAAACAACATTAACGTAACGCTCTGCTATAAACCCTTTCGGAATAACATTTGACGTATTTAACGACAACTGCGCTAACGCAGTGTCATATGCCATTGTTGATGACAGGGATACGCAATGGCCAAAGCCGTTTCGGAGAGTTACTAAGTGTGAACAGCCAGATATTTGTCTTACCGCCATGGCTAATGCTAGTGATTTTGGTGTTTGTGTTCTACCACCACTAAAAATGCACAGCAGATCCTGACATACGGAAAACAACTTTAAAGAGCGATCGTCCTGTAAGGTTATGTACTTTGATTCTTCGGGATCATCTGAAAACCCGAGTCCCCAAGCAAAAAAATGAATAAAACTGGAGGAACTAACTTTTTCACATTAGCAACGTTGATATCAGCTGCAACTGGTGGCCATGTGGTGTACCAAGCTTGTGCTGCACATTCACGAAAGATTTCTCTTAGAGCAGAGGAATTCATTTCTTTCAAAGACGATCTATGATTAGCAGGGGGTGCATTTCGTTCGTTTCATGACTTTCATCCTCAGTCTCCTCCTCACTATCCGATAACTGTTCTTGTGATATAAATGTCTCTGCAACCTTTCCTCTATCTAAACATTCTGCGAACACAATGTCACTTAGATTTCGTGAATTTGGACTATGGAATACAAGCTGGGGAAATGTATTTTTCAATCTTCTTTTCAGGCGAAACGTTTTGTAGCTTGATGCATTTAAATTTTCAACGCGTGCGACAGTTTTATCAAATTCTTCCTTCACTCTCTTCATATCGTAAATTTCTTGACCTTTGATAATTTTCGTCATCACAAACTCCTCACTGAAGATATTAAACCAACGTTGGAACTTACTGTCACTTTGTTCGTCACTCCCGCTTTCTTCAGGGTTTGTCACACATTTGGTGTATTTCTTGTAACATTGAGTATGGTACTTTACCTCAAGTGCAATACAGTCCTTTCCTTCAATTTTTATCAGAATATGTTGGTACGCCTTCCTCTTTGCAGCTTCTCTCAGTTGTCCCCCATCAATTGTTTCCGAAGAGATAAGCTTGTCAAACTTGCGCTTTTTACTAACCTGTGTTAAAAAGTTTAGAAATAATAAAAATTAGTATGTCATAATTATAAAATTAATGTGTTTTAAATTGACCTAATTTAAATTGAAAGTAAGCGATAAAAATGAGAATGTTACATAGTAATTCTTACTGAGTCAGTGATGTAAAGATTTTCTTTGCCACATATGATACAAGTAGGTGGTAGCACATGAGGGTTTCTGGGTTTCACGCGCACAGTTTCGTCAGTAGATGATCTTAGGAACTTTTCAGGCACTTGTGTCTCGTCATTGGTGGAAAGCAAGGACAAGATCTCGTCTGCAATATTTAATTTTTTGGTGATTTCTTCTTTCTTTTCACATCTGCGTTTTGCGTGTGTAACTAAAGACTTGTTGGTAAATTTAGAACAGCATTCTCTGTGGTAAAAAAGTTTTCTGGACCTGTTGGTTTCTCTGTGCCGGTTACCACACCGAATGATTTTTCCGCCACTTGTCTTTGTTAACCATCAAGCGCTACCCACTGTTCTCGAAAAAGTAAAAACTATTGAAAGGAAACTTCAGTAAAAGCAGTCAGAGGGCCACGCTGCCCATCAAAATGAATCAAACAACGCGATTTAGTTGTTTTTTTTTCAAAAATACAACTGAATTTTTGAAAGAACAAAAAAAATTTTCCGTCTCGACAATTCCCGCCAAAAGGCAAATTAAGTAAAATAATTCAGCGGAAAGTTTCTGGAAACGTTGTGTTAGACAAACTAAAATGACGTAAAACTGACCATTTCGTATATATTACATGAAGTTCCTTGAGACAAAATGGCGGCGAGCGAATACGAACATGTGTTGATTTAGTGAAACTTTGGCGGTGTTGTACTACAAAACTGCAGGTTTGTGAACATTACAACAAGTGAATATTAATTTTACACAAAATAATCTATTGATTTAACTTGTTAAAAAGTATTCCCCGTGAGGGGGGAACAAAACTGAACGAAACTACAGCAGAGAATACGGCCTATGATTGTAAGTGGTAACCATATGAACGAGTCACGAATTTTACTGATGGAATTTTATAGGAATTTTACTTGTAAGTTGTGACGTTGTAACTGAAGATTTAAGGGCTTAAGTGATTTCGTGTGCTTGGAAAACGTGATTTACATCACGAAACAAGAGAATGTATCGATTTATTATTTAAGCCCGTTTTTGGGCGAATTTGTTCGCGCGAAGCGAAAACCAAATTTCGGCAATGTGATTGGCCAGCGACAAAATTCGCCGCGAAAAAGTTGGATCAGCCTACTCTTTTACTTGTCGCTTCGCGCGAACAAATTCGCCCAGTGGAAAACGTCATTCTAGTGATTGTCATTCTACTTCCTGTTAAATATTTGTTAAAACCACTGAGCTGTATAATAACTGGAGGACCTGCTCCTATACTTCGTTCAGTCAACCAAGTGAAGTAAAAAACATGGCGGATTTTGAGTGAAAATGACGCCATTTCCATGACTACTGGTCCCTAAATTCATGGTAGTTGCCACTGAACAAGGCTCAAATATGAGCCCGCCGCAGTTTTCACACCCCCCTTGTTTTTATAAAAATATAATAAATATTCCGGCTTTTTAAAAGTGAATCCTTGTTGTTTTGATATTTTCGACATATTTTTTCGACTGTTGACAATTTGTTCAAGGATGTGAAAGTCGTACACGTTATTCTCGTCCGTGAAAGACGACAAACAACTATTAAAACCTCCCAAAATGTGGACAAAAACGATATTTCAAGCCGGGTAAACATCAGTCTATAAATTAAACTGTCTGAAACATGCAGTCAACTATAAACAGGTAAACATTTTAAAATTCACATTTTTATTTTAGTATTTCATGAAAAAATGTTAGGAATAAATGGTAAAATGCACTCCATTTTTTAGAAAATAATCCACAAGTGTTTATAATGTGGTTGTAGTCTTGTAGATAAACCTTTTTGTATTTACTGTATTAACTTTATGCAATAATTTCATCCCTCGCAATATCGAGTTGCACAGTACATGTATATGAATTAAAGAGATGAAACTATGATGTGCTGGTGTATTAAAGAGGAAATTAAGGTTTACATATTTAACCAAGGGTTTTGTTATGCATGAGCTTGTGGTGGACTGGTGCAGGACAAAGCTCAGCTGCCTAGTAGGGGCAGCTGATCTGAGTGAAGTGAGAAGGCATGTTTTATATCCAGGATTGTACATTGTAGTTTTAATAATATGTGCTCTCTGATAGTTTGTTGTATGTATCTTTAAAAGGCCATTAGCTTGTTTGCCCCATCCCTCAAATATTAAGTTAATCGTCTCTAGTTCTGCCATATTGCAGTAAGCGAGACTTCACTGTGTGGTTATTTTAATATTTTTATAGTGGAACGACTGCGAAAAATGCAGCACAAGGTCCTCTGGTAGGAATTAAACCTACGGCCCTGCGAAAATTCTAGAAAATTCTAACATTAATTTTTAATTCTAGAACATTCTAATATTAGAATTCTAGAACATTCTAATATTAATTCCACCAAGTGAAGTGCTAGAACATTCTAATATTAATTCTAGAACATTCTAATATTAATTCCACCATGTGAAGTGCAAGAATCCATATTATTATAACTGTGGCTCCATGGGCTATTCTTTCATTTCTTTGGCTGTTTCCTGTGTTGATGCCTTGGGCCATTTCTTGTAGTACATATAACACATGCCCAAAACATTTTGGAGAAAAGGCATTGTTAGTTTTCCAGTTACGGTAGGTCTGGCAAGTGCCACCACTACACCACTATTCTGACTTGTTATTTGAACATTCCAAAGAACTTGTCCACATGACTTACATCACCGGATCACCCTAAATGAGAAGGGACAGTCAATTATATTTATAAAATAGTGACAGCTAATAGTGAGTCACATACACCAGGCTCCAATTACGGGGAAATGTAACCCATTGAGCACCAGTGCTCTCTTGTTGGCAAGTAAAATTGTTGGTGTTAGACAAAGTAACACTAACATATAAGGTAGGGTGCAATGCAATTGAACCCATTGAGTGACAGCACTCTCCACTTGATGAGTAAAATCGTCTGGCATTAGACAGAGTAAAATATTGTAGTAGGGCGCATTGCCACTTAAAGGATTAAAAATGGGTTCATTACGGGTCAAATAAATTGATTCAATCATTTTTCACATGAGTTCTGGCATTTATAAGCCCTGGCTTGCAACCAACTTTAAAACATACAGCAGTTAATGGCACCCAGGCTTATTATTTTACTCTCAGACAGTCTAATGCCTGGCAATTTTACTTGTCAA